TGCCGTACTGGCTAGCATCCGTAGTGACGACAAAAGGCAAGGACGGATCGGCTACCTTAAGGACCGGGTACTCTATCAACGCCTGCTTCAACTTTTTCATGGCAGACGTGCAGTCCTTGTCCCACTTCCAGATGGTCTCCTTCCTGAGTAATCTGCGAAGGGGCGCAGCGATGGTGGAGAAGTTCCTCACGAACTTCCTGTAGTAATTTGCTAAGCCCAGGAACGAGCGCAACTCTGTCAGCGTACGTGGCGTGGGCCAATCTCTAATCGCTGCGATCTTGCTATCCTCTGGCTTAACGTCGTCTCCGTCTAAGACGTGGCCTAGGTACAAAGCTTGGGTCTTCGCCCAATCGCACTTCTTTGCATTGATCTTGAAGTTAGCTTCCCTCAGCTTCTCCAAGACCTGCGTGAGATCACCCTGATGCTCTTCAAGGGTCCGGCTAAACACTAGGATGTCATCTAGGTACACTACAACAAACCTGTCTAACCACGGCCTAAACAAATCGTTCATGCAGCGCTGGAACGTAGCTGGCGCATTGGTTAGTCCAAAGGGCATCACTACGAACTCGTAGTGCCCATATCTAGTCCGGGAGGCTGTCTTATACTGATCATCAGGATGCACCTCTATCTGATGATACTCGGACTTCAAATCTATCTTAGAAAAATACTTCGCCCCCTGCACTCGATCTAAGAGATCGTCTATCATAGGCAGTGGCTCAGCATTCTTTACTGTAATAGCATTCAGACCCCTATAGTCTATGCACATCCTCAGCTCTCCCTCTTTCTTAGGGACAAAGAGAACAGGCGCTCCAAACGGAGATGAACTGGGCCTAATCCAACCCTTTTCAAGGAGCTCGTCCAACTGCCTCCGTAGCTCCTCTAACTCCCGCGGGGACATCCTATACACAGCACCCTTAGGAGTTCTACTGCCAGGCACTATCTCAATACGGTGTTGGATGGGCCGCGGCACCGTGCCTGTTGGCGGCTCAGTCAAATCCTTAAACTCTTCCAGCAATTTGGCAATAGCAAGGTCTACGGGCTTCTCTTCCTTAGGCTCAGTGACTGGCCTAACATAGGCAACAAAGACCTGTTCCTCTAATTTCTCCTTCGTCACCAATCTGGCGAACGCAGGGGCACTAAGGCAGCAATGCGCCAAGGAATTCTCTACCCCGGACACATGGAACAGGCGGCCAGTCTTAGCCTCGCCTGACGAACTAGGGAGCCTACACTTGTGCTCTTTCAGATGGAGCGTGGCCCCGGCTGCCTCTCCCCAATCCATTCCCAGGACAATATCAAATGGGAGGCTGTCTTCTACGAGGAGAGTCAGGGAGTGGAGGACCTTCTCCACTTTCCCATCCTTCTCTAGGCGAAAATATGCCTGGACTCCCTCTACATACTCCTCTACAACCATTGTACGATTGTCCGCGAGGATACTAACTATGGGATCTGTCAGTTTCTGGACTTTAAGTCCCAGCCTCAACTTCTGCAGCGCTTTCTTACTAATATAGCTGCGGGTGGCCCCTGAGTCTACTAGGGCCCCTACTCTACTTCTAAGAATCTCCGTATCTAGTAATATAAGTTGTCCTTTATTCTCCTTCTTCATCTTGGCCCAGGCGGGCATCCTCTCCTTCAACTCTTCGGCCACGCCTGTGAGGGAGGTGTCTAGCGAAACTCTAACACAAGCAGTTTCGGGACAGCTATCTAGACACCGGCCTGCAACCTCTGCCATAGGCACATGTGGTGTGGGAGTCTCCTGCCGGCTAACGCTATGTTCCCCACATGGCCTAGTGGTAGGGGCAGTTGCTACCCCTACCGGCGGCTGCCTTTTGGCCCTTGGGCAACCGTTCGGGTCTCTCGATACTTAGGACAATATTTGATGATGTGGCCCGGGTCACCGCAGAAAATGCACTGGCCCCGGTCCAATCGTTGTTGCCATAAAGTCTGGTCCAGACCCAAAGTTTCCCAAGGCCTACCCTGCGGTAGCCCTGGGTGCCATCCTCCTACCCTATAGGGTGACCTATTCCTAGGACGGTTTTGCGGGGGACCTTGACCCCTGCCTCCCGCTTGGCGGTTTCCTCCTCTACCGCCAACCCCCTGATCGCCTTGGAACCGGCTCCCTGAGGCCCGGCCCCCTTGGCCCTGGCCTCGTCCTCCTTGCGGCCTCCCTCCAGCCGCGACAACAGCGTAAGTCCTCCCTCGGCCCACACCGCTGTCATCCTCCTCTAACCCCCACTCAATCTGATCGTAGGGGATCTCATCCACACTACCCTCGTCTAGATTAGGACAAGGCTATCCTTAGTCTTCACTTGCCCAGAGATAGTGCGGCCCTTCCATTGCTTTCCCTTATCCAAGTCTTTGTGCCAGAAGGTGGACACAGACGCAGACTTGGCTTCAAAAGCCACCACTTCGCGACTAAGAGAATCGTACGTAGTGGCAGGGTCTTCGCTCTTTGCGAAGAAATGCCCTCGGAGGGCTTCGGGTATGGCCCGATAGAAGAGGCCGACGAACTGGGTGTCCGTAACCCCATGGTCASRGACAGCCACTAACTCATCCATTGTACTCTTGAGTGCCCTGGCACTCTTCCACTTGYGGGCGTGGATCGTCYGCAGCCTATSTGACGCTTTAACACTACGAGCGACATCAGCAAATCGCTCGCGCAGAAATTTCAGGAACTCAACGAGGGGGGTGAATGTGGAGTATGCAACTGGATCGTCACTGCAGTTAGCAGCGCGAACAAGRGACCTTGCAARACTAGCKGCCTCRTCCTTAAGCGCGTGGATCRCAATTAGGACCTGCTGGTCCSGGGAGACCTGTTGCARATGCACATAGGTCCTRAYGTTGGCCTCCCAATTGTCAAAGTTCTCTTCCCTTTTTCCACTGTAGGWATYAGGGAATTYGACTTTGACTGGCTCCCTGCGAGGACGAGTTTCCTCCTCCTCGGGAGCTGCCACCTTGACGCCCTCAATGGCGCCGACACAAAAACGCTCAGTCTTCTYGAGGCRATGACTCACCTCGGACCCCACAKCGCCTACTAACTCGCGAGCAAAGTCCTGTAATCSCGTTCGCATCGAACGCACMGATATTTCCTGGCTGCGACTAAACTCATAGTGYTTTTCTTGCACTTTGGCTAAACGCTCGACGCTCTGGGSGATGATCTCCACCTTCCGCTCGAGRTCTACCTGGGGTGTCAATTGTAACCTCAATTTCTGCACCTCCTCCAATTCCTGTATTGCTGCATTCGCCGCCTCCACTCTTCTCTTCTTCTCCCTCATCATTGCGAGCTTCCACRCCATCCTCTGTTCATCTTCCATCGCCCGCCWCGTYAGAACATCTTCCTCTGCTTCCCATTTTTTCATGGTGGCTGCTTGCTCATCCTTGGGGATATACATAGCAACCTCTTCCTCTTCCCCCAGGGACAAGTTGGCGACCCAWTCTGAAATCCGCTTYTCCATYTCSTCATCCYTGCYGCCACTGTKCTGMCYMYTCTTCCTTTGCAGTGGYGKTYCWTCYTCTTCYTCCTCKTCCACCTCTTTCAAYTTCKCYTCYTYTTCYTTCTKTAKCCTCTCCTTCTCYCTGGCCATCWYTTCTTCTATCTTCTTCAATTTGGCCGCMTGCTCCTCCTTCAAGGCCTTCTTCTTGGCCTCCTYCTTCTCCTTCCTCTCCTGYARAATGGCGRCCATCTYCTCCTCCTCCTCCTTCGTGTAGGGGYTGGTGGAAGTACCACCACGAGTGGGCCCTACTCTACACGTGAAAGTGGGCCAGAAACCCAGAGGAAAGAGGAGGCGCYAGAGGGTCCCCCAGAGAGAGAACCCAACCAGCAACCCATACATCGGATAGTYGTCCATTGTGGCGTCAGGTGCACGACAACGTCCCACTCCTCACCACTTAGACCTACCCGGACACACTGACCTACTGACTAACTCTCTAAGATCCACTACTCACAACTACTCTAAGGCTTTCACTACTGAACCCAAAGCTGACCCGGAGGCATTTAAGGAGATCCCCCAAACTCCGCAAGAATTCTTTAACGTCGCAGACAGGACGACGTGATCAGCTTGGTTCCTCTGGCGATTTCAGCCCACAACTCAGCCGTTCCAGCCTACTGTGCCACACCGAGCAGCCCGCCGGTCTGTACCGGTCCTTGGAGGGGTTCGTATCCCTCGGGATAGTCGAGTCGTCAGACACAGATCATCGGCTGTAGTAGGTCCGGTAGGGGAGTGGCTCAACCAGGCCTCAACACTTAAAGACGGCCCCCGTTTCAGCCTACAGCCCGGAGTTCAGACCCTCTACACTGAACTCAGTAGACCTGCCGGACAGTACCGGTCATTGGGCTAGACGAGTTGTTTAACGAGCACTCGCCGCTCATGCCGAGGTCTCCAAGTGCCAGCGTAGAGCTTTGGTCTTACTAAGCCCGTGCAGGTTTGGCAGCAAGGCCCTATCCTTCATCCACAGAGTCCTAACACCTAGGACAGAAGAGACTCAATGCAGAAAGGAAAGACAGACAGACTCAACTCAGCAAGTACCGTAGGGTGAGTGCACAATCACAGGGTAAGGGGATAGGTTAGGGCTCTGTGAGATATCACCAACTCCAGCTTGGTCAAAATCTTGGTCAGCAGCTCCAGTCAACGCCTTGGTCAATGCTGAGTCGACGCTTACAACCCTCGGTCAACGCTTGGTCAACCACCTTGATCAACGCCTAGTCAACCCTCTGGTCAACCCTTGGTCAACCCTCTGGTCAACGGTCTGGTCAACGCCCGGTCAACTCCTCACCTCGGCTATGGGTGCCGGCACCTTCACCTTCGTTACCCTCGCCGTCTACTTCCCCTTCCTTCACTTTCTTTCTTCTTCACTTTCGCTGTTTTTTTTTTTTTTTTTTTTTTTTTTGTTCACCCCCGGCTATGCCTGCCTTCTTCCTCAACCTCCTCCTTCCACACCTCTTCTTCTCTCTCCTTAGTCCCTCCTTCTCTGTCCTCCCTTTCTCTCTCCTCCGGTACTCTGTGTTGATGCTCCGCGGCTATGGCCGCCGTCTTCCTTTTCCACCGGACTCCGCAATCTCGCCTTACAGGTAAGTGACAACCAATCTTGGATCGCTC